ATTATACTCTCTTAATATATTAGTTCTTACTGTTTTAGACCTTAAATACATAAAGCTATTTGTATGGAAAATATTTTGAGTTCTGTTGTTGAGCTTGTGGTTTTACGAAAATTTCTATATATATTAAATTAGTAGTTTTTCAATATGAGACAGTTGAATTAAGATTGCTTAATCATTTAATGTATGTCTCATATTTTGTAATAGATTTTATTCATACAGGCAATTAATCTTTCTTGTGGCATATATTTATAACTATTATTATATTAGTACTAGAGAACCCGTGCTTCAATTTGAGTAATTCTAGCTATATCTTAGAGTTGTTTAAACACTTGTTAGAAAATAATTTTAAATATCTCTTTTTGTGTTGTAAAAGGTTTGCCTACATTATTTTTTTTTTTTGCTCTCAGTTTTAACTGATAACTTCCAATGAATGCTAAACGATCTGCTTCAATTTGGGTTAACATGTTACAACAAAGTTTTTACAGCATTGAGAATTAAAGAAAACTGTTGCCTAACTGATAGCCTGTGTTGCGTAATTTAAGTTTGGGTAATTTTATTTCTTTGATTTGAGACTTCCCGCTAATACTAAGGTGGTCTGCCGTTACACTTTAGACGCATAAATGAGCGAAGCATTATTTAAAGATTGTCAATGGCTAAAGCAGCTAACACCGTACAATATGTTCCCTTTCAACAGATGCACCGTTTGTTTGCCCGATATTATTTAAGTTCTAAAGAATGACAAATTTATCTGATAGTTCATACTGTACCTTTGTAGTGAAACTGGCCATCCTGACCATTTGCTTGTACTTTGTAAATGTGCATAGCAGGATGTACTCGTGCAATCAAAATTTGTTCTACAATCGCCAGGTCAGTTAATTCGTTCGGGGCACTTGACACATCCATATTATTTAACGCCGTGAATTACGTTGCATTTGAACGACAACGGGAACAAATTGGTAATTGATTTGAAGCTGTTAGTCGTTGCTGATGACAGTTAGTCCAAAGTGTAAAATTTTAGTGCATCTAATTCATGTTGGAATTGATTAGCTATCTGCCTATCATTATCAGCTTCATCTGGTTCTTTTTGTTCATGACACCACTCTCTTACAATATTTGCATTATTGGTGTGACGACCAATATTACGTTGGGCCTTTGAGCAACAAACAAATATAGCAAAACTGTTACTTCCATTGATAAACTGTTACATTCCAACTTTAACCTAGGATGAAAGTAAACATTGAAATGTAAACAAAACAGTTACAAACAATTAATATATGTTTATCTTATTTAAATGAAATGAGATAAACCCATATGTCATAAACCCAATATAATTTTTATTTCAACTTACATTAAAATAACAAGCGAAATTGCGTGACCCGTAAAATAAAATCCAGAAGGAAATTCGCAAATATTTTTTACCAAAACATTGTACTCAGTATTGTTTAGCTGTTGGCCAAATTTCATATTAATTGGTCAAGCCATTACATTCTGATGCTCTTATAAAGAAGTTACAAAGTGAGGGAAAGTGAGCTTCGCTCAATAATGGGGGTGTGACTTTTAGTTTTCTCAAAAGTTTATGGGTGCTTTTTGGCTTTATATATAGATATAGTTTGATTCAAATTTTTAAGATGGAAGAAACTGTTAGTGATATTTATTGAGAATAGCCTCTCATCCTGTTATGTGTTAAATCATAACATAACTGCTTTTTGTGGTCATTTGATAACTTCTAAATTAAGTCTTTTGACTTTAGTAAAATATAGCTGGAATAGATTGCTTCTTTCTTATTTGATTTTTATCGAGAATTACCTCACATACTGTTAGGTCTAAAATCGTAACATATCTGCTTTTTGTGATCATTTGATGAATTATAAATTGCTTCTTTCTTATATGGTTGTTTGAGATGGAAGTAAATGTTAGTGATTTCCTTGTTTGATTTTTATTGGGAATCGCTTCACACTGCTAGGTTTTTAAATAATAATAAAACAGTTTTTGTCATCTTTCGATTAGTTTAATTTACGTTTTTGACTTTGTTAAAATGTAGGTGTTTACTTATACGATTGTTTATAATGGATATAATGTTAGTGATTTTCTTATTTGATTTTTATTATGAATTGCAATTGTATATGATTGAAAATAACTGATAGCTATTTCCTTCTTGCGACAGTAATAAAACTGTTTTTGTGATCATTCAAAGGTTTGAAATTCGACTTTGTTAAAATGTAGCTTTATTGGGAATCGCTTCACACTGCTAGGTTTTTAAATAATAAAACAGTTTTTGTGATCTTTCGATTAATTTAATATACGTTTTTGACTTTGTTAAAATGTAGGTGTTTCCTTATACGATTGTTTATAATGGAAATAATGTTAGTGATTTTCTTATTTGATTTTTATTGGGAATTGTATATGATTGAAAATAACTGATGGCTATTTCCTTCTTGCGACAGTAATAAAACTGTTTTTGTGATCATTCAAAGTTTTGAATTTCGACTTTGTTAAAATGTAGCTTTATTGGGAATCGCTTCACACTGCTAGGTTTTTAAATAATAAAACAGTTTTTGTGATCTTTCGATTAATTTAATATATGTTTTTGACTTTGTTAAAATGTAGGTGTTTCCTTATACGATTGTTTATAATGGAAATAATGTTAGTGATTTTCTTATTTGATTTTTATTGGGAATTGCAATTGTATATGATTGAAAATAACTGATAACTTTTTCCTTCTTGCGACAGTAATAAAACTGTTTTTGTGATCATTCAAAGGTTTGAATTTTGACTTTGTTAAAATGTAGCTTGATGAAGATGATTCTTATACGATTGTTTAAGATAGAAAATACTGTCAGTGATTTCCTTATTTGATTGTTATCGGGAATGGTTTGAAAACAATAATCAAACTATCTCATAGGTCTTTAATCAATAACAAAACCGTTTTATGTATCTTCTGATAATTTGAAATTAAAATATAGCTTGCTTAAGATTTTTTTTTTTAAAATAAATGCATAAAATGGTTACAATACTTAATAAATTTAATGTGCATTTTCTTTTCTAGAGTTATCGTGGCCTAACTTTATACACCAAGTGTTCCTGATTTCTACTGAAATAGGTAGGTCTAATTATTCTCTGTTCCATATTGTGTTTGCATAGCTGAAATGATGTGATATATTAGTTGAAATCTACATGTATAATTAAATATATTGCATGGGTTACATATTGGTGTCTGCTAAATGTTGTTGTATTCTCATATTGTAATTAGCTTGGTTAGTAATTTAATTGATTTAATATCTTGTTCTTGAGGCCTGAAGAAAATTGTTTCTCTGATTATATACCATTCTTAAGCGAACAACTTATACCTTTTAATGGACTTTACTTCAGTTTTAAGCATGTATATTGTTTTGGATTGATACAAATATGATTAGTAGCTGCACGTGTTAGTTACACCCCCCCCCCTTTGCTTCATTATTGCGAGACTTCCACTACACCACTTGTCCGTTGATTGGCTGAGTAGACCACGCCCCCAGTGAGACCTCCCCACTACACCACCTGTCCTGTGATTGGCTGAGTAGACCACACCCCCATATAGCCCGGCCCCCCACCAGAGCGCATAAAACTAGTTGGAGTTCTTTCAAACTTCACTGTTCATCACGTGCTCTTGCCAGGTACACATCATGTGCACAAGCAAGCTGCACATCAAGTGATGAACGGTGAGCTAACTTATGCAATGTTGGGCCCGCATTCATATATCAGCTCATTTCTTTTTCAGGTTAATAATAACTAATCTTTTGTTGAATTGCTATGTTTACTTGTTTTTTCCTTTCAGGTTAACTAACTTGTTGTTGCATTACTATATTCACTTGTTTTGTTTTCTGGTTAACTAACTTGTTGTTTATTTTGTTTGCAGGTTGACCTCCAATGTATATGTCTAATCATTTTCAGGTTAAACTCTATCCTTCCTTAACACACATAGAGGCAAGAAAACCTGATGTTTCCTTAAAGTGCAAAATGGCATGAAAACCAATTGTACTTAGATCTCCATACCCTATTCAAATCTTGTATATATGTTTAATCATTTTCAGGTTAAACTCTATCCTTCCTTAACACACATAGAGGCAAGAAAACCTTATGTGTTTCCTTAAAGTGCAAAATGGCATGAAAACCAATTGTACTTAGATCTCCATACCCTATTCAAATCTTGTCTATATGTCTAATCATTTTCAGGTTAAACTCTATCCTTCCTTAACACACATAGAGGCAAGAAAACCTGATGTTTCCTTAAAGTGCAAAATGGCATGAAAACCAATTGTACTTAGATCTCCATACCCTATTCAAATCTTGTCTATATGTCTAATCATTTTCAGGTTAAACTCTATCCTTCCTTAACACACATAAAGGCAAGAAAACCTTATGTGTTTCCTTAAAGTGCAAAATGGCATGAAAACCAATTGTACTTAGATCTCCATACCCTATTCAAATCTTGTCTATATGTCTAATCATTTTCAGGTTCTTCATGCATGTACTGTTGTAGTCTTACTTGTAGATAGTCTTGTAGATACTATGCACCAGTAGTTGTGTTTTGGTGTTGGTAGTTTGAATCTTTGCACTACTATTTTTCTTGCATGGCTTTCGGTTTTTTTTTTAATAGAGGATGACCTTGACCTACTTTTATGATTGGTTATTTGAAACTTTATCTTTGAAAATAGTTTCTCAATCCATAGCCAAACTCTTCCTATTAGATATAATTATTTCCCACTCCCCACCCTTTTACAACACTCCTAACTTCCCCCACTCTGTCCTATACCTATATCCCCCACCACTTGGAGTGGGTATATATGTGAGAGCATTTTGGTTAATAACATCATTCTGTTGCCTGCCTGCAGAAGAGCCATGGACCCCTGCTACAGAAAGACCACTAAGCCGATGAAGCCGGTGGCTGGAGTGAAAAGGTCCAAACTTCTCCAGGCATTGAATGGGGAAATAAGGAAAGAATGTACTGTCTCCAAGACTATTCAGGAGCCTGGACCTTCTTCTGCTGCTGCCAACACTTCTTCTGGACCTTCTGCTGCTGCCAACACTTCTTCTGGACCTTCCTCTGCTGATGCCAACACTTCAAAGCCTCTGCCTGTCTCCAAGATTTCTCCAGAGCCTGGATCGTCAACTTCTATCGTCAAGAATATTCAAGAGCCTGGACCTTCTTCTTCTGCTGCCAACACTTTGAAACCTAGGCCTCCATCATCGCCATCGTCTTCTTCTTCTTCATCCTCGTCTTTTGACTCCTTGTCTTCATCATCCTCATCCTCGTCTTCTACGTCATCCCCCCGAAAACAAAGAAATATGTCCCCTCTATCAATGCTACTTTCTCCCTTGATTGTCTCCTTACTATCCCCTATCAAATCTCCTGAAAAGCCATCTCCTCCCAAAGATAAGCCGTCTCCTCTCAAAAACAAGTCATCTCCTAACAAAGATAAGTCATCTCCAAAACCTCAAACACCTAACCTAACTCTTCCTAATTTAAATCCATCCTCAAACCAGATTACCAACATAGATTCTCCTGAAATAACCATTCCATTACCTCCACCCAAATCCCTCCCTGCTGCACCTGCTGTTGTAAGAAAACTATTTGCAAAACCCGAGTCCTCAAAAGAATCCCTTCCCTCACAAAAAACCCCTTCTGAAAAAATGCAAAAACTTATGGCAAAAAGACGAGCAGCATTTAAGATCAAGTCTCAATGTACTTATGTTTTCCAAAAAGGGGTGAAAAAAGGTGAGCGCTGTGAAAAATCCTGCTTTTCCGATACCAATGTGTGTAGCCTCCACACTAAGGGGAAAAGCAGGATGGTACCCGCCCAACCTAAAATTGTTAATAATAATCCTGTCACAGAAAATCCTCCATCATTTGAAAGATCAAGACCATCAATTATTGTAAAAACTCAGGCTCAGGAAAAATCTTGCTTATCTGATCCGGCACCGAGCACCTCCCGTGTTGTTGTGATAAACAAGATCTTACCCAGCCAACCACGGACGTCAGGCTTTGCTCGACCCTGTCGTCCACCACAAATTATTGCCAAAAAAACCAGAATTAATAGGTTGCCCAAAAACAAAAAGTTAGAAATTCTAATGATGACACCTAGTGGTGAAGTCATTTTAAAAGAAGGAAATGACAGGTTCCGCCTTAAATTACCAAGAGGCATGACCATCCCGAATACACCACACCGATACTACTTAATTCGTGATCGGTCTTCGGGATTGGTTACAGTAACATTGTAAATTGGTTTTTAGTTTTAACGTGTTTTTATTATTTTCTTTATTTTCCTTTAGTATGCAAAAATTGGGAACGCATTTGTTGTATCATAACAAATGCGTTCCCAATTTTTGCATTCAAAGAGTGACCTTGAGCTTTTCAACCTATTTTATCGTAAAGGTTTAGGAACACATTTGTCATAACCTAATAATGTGTTCCTAAAGTTTTGTGTATAATATATTTAGACCAAGTTATATTTAACATTTTAATCGTTCATATTGTACGATAAAGATTATATTTCTTCAATGCCATGCTGTATAACTTAACAATTCAAGGTAAAATATATATATATATACTTATTTGTAGTAACTTTCTCAGGCTAATTCCTCCATATATATATATTCTATTGTTTTTGAACTCTTATCTTTATACTTAAACTTTAAATTATTCCTGGACTTTCAAATTAAATCAAAATAGCATTTATTTAGCAAAACAAAATTTACTTCATATTAGTTCAATACAAAAACTGTTTACAATATTGTTTATATTTTGTCATTATTTGTTTTTTCAATTTAGACAAAAATAAAATGTGCTTGAATTTTATGTTTAGTTTTTCTTATGAAAACCTTATCTATTGTTCATAATTAAGACCAATACAGTCATAGAATATTGTTAAAGCGTAATACTGTGCCCAAACAATTAGGTCAAGGTCAAACTGAAGAATTTTTAAAAAACAATAAAATAGCTACATGTTTTATGATTCACTCTCTGAACTAAATGATAATCTTCTACGAACATTACCACAAAACTGTAATATTCGACAAAGTTTGTTTTCACCATTTTCAACTTCATCTGCTTGAACTGGAATCTTTGGTGTTTCACAATAGTCCGAATGAAATTCTTTAATTGGTGTGTCTTCAGTGGGTTGAATTTGTTCATTAATAAACTCTTCGTCCACTTGTTCTTCTAGCATCTCTTGCAAGTCCTCGTCACTTTCTGTATCGTTTTCTTCCACATTCCCTGCTTCATCAAAATCAGTCGCTAAGATTCTGGGCTCTACTCCAGTAAGGTATGTGTGGTCTGTAGGAGACATTGTGAATGTGTATGCTAAACCCCTATTTCAGGTGTTATTTATAAAATACTTAAGCCATTGGTGGGGGGTTTAACACGCCCCTTCATTGAATAAAAATGGAGTGGGGGTTATACACTGTGCTATATATATGAGTCCTGAGCCCCACCCATATCATTACTGTGAATACAACCATGCAGTGTGTAATGTAGATAGTTTTCTAAGTAGTGTCTTAAACCTGCAAAAATGTATCAATGTGAAAATTGTTGGGAGTCTTTTGAGGATGAATTGCTCTTAAATATTCATCATGAACTCTTACATAGACCTAATGAATCTTCAACACCGATGGAATATGAAGATTTCGTTGAAGACCCCTTCTTGCAACAGAATAGATCAACAGTTATACAGTATGCACCACCAAACCAACAATTGTCAGTAGAAATATTAGCTCAAGCATTTCCTAAAGCAATAGTAAACCATTTCAAAATTTCTAATAACAATTATGAATTGTCAGATTTTATTTTAAAAGCTAAACCCCTTATCATAGAAACACTAGAAAAGGAACTAACCAGACTTAATTTTATCAAATTCGGCTTGCTCTTGGACACTAGATTTACAAATGTGCAAAATGAGGTTTCCCCGCGGGGGTTTATAACACGAAATAAATCGATCATGGTAACCAGTGATATAGAGGCTGAAGTCGACAGTTGCTTACAAGAAATTGTTGTTAAAATATCTGAACATGAAGGAAGAGGGTCTGGGTGGTCTTTGCTAAGTGTAGACAGTTTAGATATACGTGTACATAAACATGGATATGGTGATAGAGGTAGTAGTTTCATTCCACTGCCTAAAAAAATTGCTGATACAAGAACTTGTATAAATGTTCAAAATGAGGACAATGAATGTTTTAAATATGCACTTTTAGCAAAGTTTGTTGAAGATAGGAATGCCTATAGACCTAGCCGGTATTATAGTGAAGTGGCTCATAAATATAATTTCTCAGGTTTGTCTTACCCAGTGTCTTTAAAAGATATCAAGAGATTTGAAAAACAGAATCTTAATTCATCAGTTAATGTCTATGGATTGGATGAGTCTAATAATGTTTTTCCCATTCAGGTTACATCTCATGAGCGTAAAGACCATACTGATCTTTTACTCCTCACAAATGGTAAAATCTCACATTATGTATACATCAAAAACTTTAATGCACTTTTATCAAGACAACTATCCAAAAGGAAGATGAGACTCACTATTTGCAAACGTTGTTTTTGCTATGTTGCCAAACCATTTCAGATGGGTGGTAAGGAATGGTTACTTGACCACCAACGTCTCTGCAATAGTAAGGATGAAGTAAGGGTTAAATTACCTCCCCCTAATAGAGCTTTTATTAAATTCAACAAAACCGCTCAACAATATCGAATACCAATTGTTATATATGCAGACTTTGAGTCATCATTAGTTCCTTTAGTTATAGATGAGTGTGATCAAAGTAAAATTAAAAAATTTCAATTTCATGAACCAAACAGCTTTTGTTTAATGCTTAAATCAACTTTGGAAGAAGATCATCTACGTCGGTATGGGTTAACAACCCAACCACTTGTATATCGAGGTGAAAATGCTGCTAAGACATTTGTAGATAACCTGTATGATATAGCTAATAAGGTAGAAAAACTGTATAGTTATGTAGTTCCGATGAACAATCTTCAACATGATGAATTGACATTCCATGAAAGTGCGGATAGATGTTACCTTTGTGACTGTAGTTTTACAGAAGACAACAGGCGTGTGCGTGATCATGATCACCTGACTGGTTTTTACAAAGGCCCTGCTTGCAACAGGTGTAACATTAATTTTAAATTACCAAAGTTTATCCCTGTAGTGTTCCACAATTTAAGTGGATATGACTCACATTTCATAATTCCTGAATTAGGTAGGGACAAAGGGGCGATTGATGTTTTAGCTACAAGCACGGAGAAATTTATAAGTTTTTCGAAAAAAGTGGGTAAAATAAAATTAAGGTTTGTTGACTCTTTTAGATTCATGGCTTCTAGTTTAGAGAAATTGACAGCTAATTTGCAAAGAGAACACTTTATTGAAACTCAAAAGATTGTTGCATCTGATAAAATGGATTTGGTTCTTCGTAAAGGAGTGTACCCTTATGATTATATTGATAATCCTGAAAGATTCAACGAGACGTCACTGCCACCCATTGAGGCATTTTACAGTCAGTTAAATGATTCTAATATTGACCCTGAAGACTATCAACATGCTTGCCAGGTATGGAACGAGTTAAAAATGAACACCTTAGGCGAGTATAGTGACTTTTATGTGAAGTTAGATGTAACACTTCTTTGCGATATAATGGAGGAATTCCGTAACACCTGTATAGCGGCCTATGGATTAGACCCACTACATTCTTACACCTCACCTGGATTAGCTTGGCAAGCTATGTTAAAAGAAACAAAATGTACATTACAGCTGTTAACAGACATTGATATGGTTCTCATGATTGAATCTAGTATCCGTGGAGGGCTTACCCAGAGTGTTACACGACATGTAAAAGCAAATAATAAACACATTCCAGGCTTCAAGAAGGAGGACCCATCAGTTTATCTAGGGTATTTTGACGCTAATAACTTATATGGGTGGGCAATGTCAAACCCACTTCCATATGGTAATTTTCAATGGATTGATCCAATATTATTAGGTGATGTGACAACTATCCCAAAAAATGGCGACACCGGATTTATAATGGAGTGTGATTTTGAATACCCATCCACACTTCATGATCATCACTATGATTTACCTCTATTAGCTAAATCCGAAATACCACCAGAGGGAAAACACCCTAAGCTGATGATGACGCTTAACGACAAGAAACGCTATGTTGCCCATTTTTGGGTTGTCCAACAAGCCATTGAACTCGGTCTAAAATTAAAAAAAGTTCACCGTGTTTTACAGTTTAATCAATCATGTTGGTTAAAAACATATATTGACTCAAACACAAAAAGAAGAGCTGCAGCATCATCAGCTTTCCAAAAGGACTTTTTTAAGCTGATGAATAATGCGATATTTGGAAAGACCTTAGAAAATAAAAGAAAACATAAAAATGTTAAGTTAGTATCGGATCCCAAAAAGGTAGAAAAACTTGTAAGGCAACCAAATTTTAAATCATCTATTATCATAAATGAAAATCTTGTTTGTGTGTCAATGGACAAAACTACTATTAAAATGGATAGACCTATGTATGTTGGTATGTGTATACTTGACATTTCAAAAACACACATGTACGACTTTCATTATAACAAGATGGTTTCATTTTACGGAAGAGACAATATTGGAATTATATATATGGATACCGACGCATTCCTTTATTGGATCAAAACTCATGATATGTATGAAGATTTACGAACATTTATGTATAAAGACGATTTCGACTTTTCTGACTACCCGAGGGATCATCAAAACTATGACAATGGTAAACACAAAAAGGTGTTAGGAAAGTTCAAAGACGAAACAAATGGAATCCCTTTGGAAGAAGTAGTAGCACTGATGTCGAAGCTATACTCATTAAAATTATACACTGGAAGTACTGACAGTGATATTGGTGTAATAAAAAAGGCAAAAGGAATCAAAAGTTTATATTTGAAGAAGAAACTCAAATTTGAACATTTTAAAAAGTGTTTATTTGAAAACCAAGTTCATGTTGCAAGTTTCAAAACAATCAGAAGCTTTAACCATAGACTATATACAATTGTGCAAGAGAAGACTGCATTAACATCCAATGATAACAAAAGATATATACTCGAAAATGGTATTGATACACTTCCTTTTGGACACTATTCAATTGTAACAAATTAACCTAATACATCCAAACTTTTCCTGTCCTAGATTATCCCAATATCCTCCCCGTAAAAAGGAGGGGGGCATTATACACTGCCCCCCTCTTTTTTACACATATTTCAAATGACCTTGACCTATATAACCAATTGATAATTATCAGAGATGTCCATTATTACGACTGACCTGTACAACGGATGTTAAAATTAATTATGGTTTCTAAATGGCAAATTGTTTCTGAAATTCACAAACCTGCAAGGAAAAACTTTCCAAGGAGGAATACAATACTAAAAGGAATTAATGACTTATACCAAGCGGATCTAATTGAAATGATACCTTACAGTAAATTTAATAAGGGATTTAAATATATACTGACAGTGATAAACTGCTTCACAAAAGTTGCTGATGCCATGCCTTTGAAGGATAAAACCGGAAAAAGTGTGACCAAGGCTATGGAGACAGTTATCCGGAGGGATAATAATATTATCAAACATTTGCAAACTGACGATGGAAAAGAATATTTCAATAAGGACTTTTCAGTGCTAATGAAAAAATATAATATAAATCACTATTCAACAAAATCTGAAAAAAAGGCTGCGATTATCGAACGATTTAATAGAACAATAAAAGGAGATTTGTTTAAGGAATTTTCAAATAGAGGTTCTTATGTATGGATTAATATACTTGGAGATTTGTTGAACAACTACAACAATAGGTTTCATAGAACCATAGGTATGACCCCAAGTGAGGTAAATGAAAATAATTCAGAACAAGTCTTGAACAACATTAAAAGAAATACACGCCCAAAGGTTGAAAAGATTTTACCACGTAAATTTGTTGAAGGTGATAAAGTTCGTATAAGTAAATATAAGGGGATATTTAGTAAGAAATATCTACCGAACTGGACTAACGAAGTTTTCACTGTTTATAGAGTGCAACCGACATATCCAGAAACATATATTTTGAAGGACAATAAAGGTCAAATTTTACATGGAGGTTTTTATGGTCATGAGATGTTAAAATCTTCTACAGGAGATATTTACCTTGTTGAAAAAGTTTTAAAGCGTAAAAAAGATAAGGTTTTGGTTCGCTGGCTAGGTTTTGATAAAAGTGAAGACACTTGGGTGTCTAAAGAAAATATTATATAGAATACGTCATTTATGAAACAACTATCACAGAGTGAT